CCAAGAACATAAGTTGCCATACAGTAACCAGCACAAGAAAGGGTAAATTCTTCCACTGCTTTATTAAGACTATAAGACAACTAAAGTTTTAGGTCAGTCATGCAATTCCAAACACTTAGGTGATACACACCTGATTAAATCAAGAAATGGTTCTTTCTAAGTATTAACAACCAAAAAATGAGGATAATACAAGTAACTGCTCTCTCTCTCTAGTGGAATATTTGCAAAGTATCTTGTTGCAAAATGTAATCCAAATAGGAGTTATAAGAGAGAGGTTAAATACACTAAATACTTAATTGTCCATTAGGGATCCAGGCAGTCAAAAAAAAATGTTTCCAAACTATTTTTTATGCCTAACGAAAATTTTTCATTTGCTTGAAACAGTCACGTTATTTATTTAGCACTGATAGTTTAAAGTAAAAATATTAGCTTTTATCAAAGTATAAAAACCAATATTTTATGAATTAAAAGAAATGATAACCATGTTTTTGATGACTTCATACTTAAGGAATCACGTTGTGTCTGATTAATTTTTATCTTAAAATAAATGGACCAAATTGTACAAACTTTGTTTATTATCTGGAAAATTGACAGTAGCTGAAATACACAACAAGGTAGGTGTTTTGTAATTTAATTTCCAAGAGGGAGGAATTAGCTAAGTTCTATTTGTCAGGTTCTGAATGAAAATGTTAAATAAAAATATTATAATGCATTTTACTAAAAAATAAGTTAAATTAGAAAAAAATGGGTAAGTTAAACATCTTAATTATTTGTACAGATAATGTATGAAGCTATGTTTTTAATTAATTGTATAAGCATGGTATGGCCTGGTGGTTAGTATGGTGTACTGAGGACCAGAATGTCAAAAGTCTGAGCTGCAACATACTACTGAAGGATTATAGAATTTCAGGTCTGGGGGCATTATAATTGTGTTACTCACTTTATTTGTCAAGAGTAGCTGTATAGACAGAGGGTGTGTTGATTGATTGCCCTCCTTATTGTCACAGTTCTGTACCCGAATCATAAGGGTCTCTGACCTGGACATTTAGCCCATGTGTTGTATGATGTGCCATTATGTTGATATGTTAAGTGATAATTTTTTTCAGATTAAAGGTACAACAAAAATGAGGAAGGATTAAATATGTAATTGATAATGAACCATTTTGAATAAATTTATATAAATCCTCAATGTAATTTATTTGCAAGAAAGCTTATGATATTACCCATCATGAATTTTAATAAAATTTGATAATTATGGAATAGTTGTGTTTCTGTTTAATTTGTGATATGCCTTTGTTTTTTTTAAAGCAATTCAAGGACATTTGGTCATATATATATATATATCACCCTTATTTCAATTTTGCTTGTGAATACATTTATAATGTGGAATATATTTGTTTCTTTTAGAGCAAAATCATATTGTAAACTTACTCGCTGTCTCACTAGGGATATGGAATCTAATCTATGTAATAACCAGTGTGTGTCACGTCACACTTGATTTCTCAAAACAGGAGTCATAAAAGCCAAAATGCATTTATCCAGATAGAATACTTTGATTACAGTCTACCCATTACAATTTTAGCAATGGGTGGGTAGGTGGAGGATGCTATGAAACCTTGTAAGTATTGGTATAATAAGCCTAAAGTAAAGATGTAGTGTGGGGTCACCTAGCCTAGAGCCAAGTGCATAAAATTTATCATGAAAGTCAAAATATCGATAAAATTTTAAACTTAAATCATTTCTGAATTAAGCTATTTTCTGTTATATCACCAACCTTTTTAATAAAAAAACAAACCTCTTTAATCAATGGAGACCCTAAATTAAGAAATCAACAACTATTTTTCCAGTTTTGTTGTTTATACATTTCATTTTATGCTTTCAGTACATAGACGAACAACAATATTAGATTATACTTTTGTTGCTAAGCAATGTGACATAAAAGCCATTGTTGGAGTTTAGTGTTATCAAAATGTACTGGTTTTTCTATATATTAGAAGTTGTTAATCTAACTGATTTTTACCAATAATTATTCTATGAATATGCTAAAAAATTAATTTCATGAATGATTTTAATTCTGATTGGCTCACAATTACTTTTACTGCCTTGACTGCATTTTTGTTAGTCAAGCTTAATTTTGCAAAATTTCTTTATTTTAGTTAGCTATAAAGTGTGAAGTTAGGGTATACTATGGGGGTGGGTGGGTGGTAGTACTTGCCTCATAATTTTTGATGGGCTATATGCTAATATATAATAGATAAAAATCATTTGATATAAATGTCTCGCAACAGCCATCTAAGAAGTATAGTAAAGAGAGAGAATGTGTGTTTTAGGATGTTTGCTAAAAGTTAAGAAATGAAAGGCTTTACATTGACAATATTTAAAGAATTGGATTAAATTTACATCAAGGCTTGTAATATGATAAACCCATGCAAGATACAAAAATAAAAGAGGGCTCATCCATGCACCATAAAGCTCCGAAGAGTGGCACTGGATAAAAGTTTGGGATGATCAAGTCAGTAAGGAACAATCTTCTACATATATATATATATATATATATATACAGAAATCTCAAGCCAAGCCTGAATCTAGGCCAATGGAAGTTTAAAGGAACCCTATGAAACATGTCTTTTTAAATAGAAGTGAAAACCATAATTCAGTCTAAAAGAGGTCCTATTTTAAACCTGTCATATGACAGACTCAAGAAAGTAAGTTTTCATGAAAGATCAATGGACAATTTGCCAGAATAAAATTGTAAATAAGTAAAACTTGCAAGAATAATAATACTGGAAAGATAAGGAATCTTTTTCACAATAAGTTGGTGATTTTTCGAAGCAATAAAAAATATGAACTTCAATATTTGGCCTGGTTCCCAATGTAGCATTAAAAAATGTTATTGTAAACTAATTTAATACATGTAATAATATGACTGGATACTTGTTAAATAATATTAAAGTGCCTTTGTTGGTCAATGTCTGAACTAATAGATGCAAAGCTCTTCTTATAGTATATTTTTTCTCTTTTGAATACAAAATATATCTTTTGTCTTAAATAAATACAACACACACTCATCATGAGAAAGTTTGCTGAAAAAGTATTTTACTTGTACCCCAGTACGTCACATCACATAATACTTATGAACAGGTAAAAATGTAAACTTTCTGTACAGTGAAAAACTTATCAATAGGATATTCTTTCAAATCTGATTTGTAAAAATATAAAACATTTTTCATGTTGAAAGTCTACTTAAAAACTGGAATTGGAAAATGGTGCAAATTCACTTTTGAAAACTAAAACACTTATCCTGAAATACATATAGACTGGTTCCATAGTGGAATAATTACAAAGTATCTTCTTGCATTTCTGAGCCTTTGAAAATGTGAGATTAAGTGGAGGTAAAATTGGATCCAAATAGAAGCCATAAAAGAGAGTTTAAACACTAAATACGTTATTAATTCAGCTAAATTCCCAAAAGAATTGTCCATCAGGTAGTCACCATACCAAACTGGAATTGTTTTTTTGTTTGTTTTCTTTTACAAGTTATACTGAAAGTAATTTGAAATAAGACTTCCTTTAAAATACTATTAACTTTCTTCAAGTTCCACTTTCAATAGTAGTGGCAGGAATTATCTAAGTAAAACAAGACTGAAATCAGTTGTCATAGTAATTAAATACTATTTTAACACAAAAATCTCAAGAGAATCTATCACTCGTCTCTTAGTTTCAATGTGTTCCTCTAAAACTGGTGTGCATACAAGTTTATAATAGGGTGATTGCAAATGGATCTAGATGAACCTGATTCCTGTCAGTACATTAGGCAACATGAATAAATACAATGAACTGGCTTGACTTTAACACATGTAGTTATCTCATGACATCCGTTCTGGTCACACATAAATGAAAAATACTGACCTTAATGACACAAGGATGTGCATCATTTACAATATTACATGTACAACAGTGAAGTTGTGTACATACTTTATATATACATATTTCTACAAATATGCAATTCCACTGATCTTTAAGGGTTAAATATTCAATAAGTTTGACACAAAGATGTTACACCCACAATTTTATGTTCCTTATTTATTAATAATCAAACTATCTAGTTACCTTAAAGTTACTCTGTAAAAACATTATAGAACTATTTTCAGTCACAGACAAAACTGAAAACTGTGAATGAACTTTTTTAATTCTTAAATGCTTGAAATATTTTTCAATTTTTTTATTCATCCACCGATAAACTATACATTTTTAATGTTGAAGTAAAGCAGGTTTTCAAAGTAATACTTTTATGGTTGACAGACACATACTATGTGAAAAAAGTTACAAAACCAATCCATTGTTTATATAACTAAAACAAGTAACTGATCTTGATCAATTCATCAACTTTAAAAAAAAAAAAAAACAGGAAGCTTACAACTGCTCAGGCATTTGTTTCCCTCCATGAGATTACTTAAAAATGAGTATTAATTATATCTTTAACAGTGTAATAGGTATTTAATTGACGAAACATTGCAACTACTACTATAAAGAATTTTTAGACCTATAGTTATCCCATTATTCTTCAGTTGATAACATTTTTTAATTTTATTGTTTAATTGCAATAACATTGTCAAATATTGTGATACTTGTATCTGATACATTATAAAAAAACTACAGTCCTAAAAATTTATCAAATTGTTGGTATCTTTCACTTAATCGGAACATTAAAAGGACTCCAAAATATGTAATAAATATTTTAATACTGGTAGAATATCACAATCACTACTTAAATAATGTTTTACTTTCTATAATACTGTATCCCTTGTACAAAGAAATCACTTCTTTCCACTAGTAAACAATTTAAACATTGAAATAACATGTTTTCCATGACACAAACAACTCTTAAATACATGTAAAAAACTTAACCCACACTGAACAAATGTCTGGCAAATAATCTTTTCATGAAAAATAAACAAATAATAATTTTATTATTAAAAATACAAAATGATTTTATAGACTATATTAAAAAAAAACAATGAAAATATAATTTTTAAAATCCAATGATATAAAAACAATTATTTAAAGTATACTTTAAAGTTTTAAGGTCTAATGGCATCAAAATTTTCCTTAAAGCGGGGTTATATGAACCACTATGCAAACACACACACATGCATGCATAATATATCTTATGTTCCATTCCAAGCTAAACACTACATAGACACAAAGTTCCAAATACGGCATTTAATAATATGCTCAATTCTAATATATATATTTTCATAAATGTTTGTTGAAAACATCACAATGAAAATGTTTGAATTACATTTTTTTAAAACCTAAAATTCTGGAAATATTTTAACATTTCTTTATTAGTCCATTGATAAAATACATTTTTCATGTTGAAGTAGAACAATTTTTTCCAAGAGGCAGATTATGGTTAACAGACACATTATATGTGAAAAACATTACAAATAAATTAATGAAAAAGTTCTCAGAGTGGACTAAGCTGTTACTTAGGGCATTTTCTTTGTTTCCAATTTAACTAAGTTTTATGAGGTTCCTAAAATTCAGTACATCATTGTTTTGAATACATCAATTGTGATGAATTAGATTTGGATTGTAAGCCAACTAATGTAATTGTTGCTCTGTTCCTGCCAATGGAGAAAAAGTACCGACAAAAATGAAAATAAGATATCACCTGCAGAAAAATAGTTGGTTAACTAATGTATGTGCACATATATATAAAAAATTACTTCCATACTATTACTCGATGTTATGTGCAATTGTTTTTTGTGAAAAGTTTTTATTGCCCTCTGACTAATTTTCCAGCATTCTGTTAAACTGAAAGTTGTCTCTGAAATATTAAGTACAATTTGGTTGTAAAGCTTTGTACAATTTACCTATATATTAGGTATGAAGTGAATGCTTTGTACACAGCCAAACACAAAAAAGCATGTCAAACAATTTCTACTTTGCTAAATGATTGTTATGTTTTAATTAACAGCAAAATCTGAATGTGGGTATGAAGCTTAAATTTTCTATTTCATTTTGCAAAACTAAGTTTTCTTTGCGATAAGCATACATATAGTTTGTTTTTGGTAGAATTTTCATTTAAACAGCATTGAAACACTTACTTAATAAACTCCAATCACACTTTACATATATCAATGCCAAAATAAATCTGTGGCACAGTATTATATCACAATGAGATGGCACACTAGTCAGCAATTTTGTTATCTTTGGCTAAATTGTGGGCCAGCCAGTTTAAGCTGGTCTTCCAACTGTTCCGCAGAGCCTCCATGAACTTGGACCGGAAGTGTTGAAGAGCCCCTGTCTCGGTCATGTCCAGAACTAAAGTCTCACGTAAGTAATACAGGTCCTTTTCAGATGTAAGCTCAGGAATACCCGTTGACAGCATCATAGCAAAAAGGGAAATTATCAGAGTTCCTTTCCTTCGTAAGATCATGAAAGCTTCTTCACAGTATTCCTGAAATCTAGAAGTTACATTTTAAGTTTCAACAGCAACTAAATTCTATAAACAAATCAAATCTTCCTTAAAACAAATATTACACATAACTGAAAGCTACAAAAAACATACATTAACACTTTAAAGATTATAAATATACACCTGGAAAAAAGTTAAGCACCCCCACATATTTTTCAGGATTGCTTATTGAAAATAAGGTTTAATTTTCATGATGTTGAGCAATGTTCATAATTTCAAGCATAATTAAAAGGATGTGAGCATTCAGGTGTGACATTTAAATCAGGCGCGTTTTTTTCCCCACGTGCAACTTGCTCCCTTCTTCACGTCCAATATGCACTATTTTCTCGTGCATCAAATCCGTATTTAAGTCCCGAATTTCTGAATGCAAAATTATTTTAAGTAAGAATGGCAAGAAGACGGATATCAGAGGCGCAGAGATGGCAAATTATTGGCATGAATTCCGCTGGTATGTCCTACAAGGCGATAGGTAAGCAGCTTGGCTTTCATTACACAGTGCTCAACCATTTG